TACGTAAGATAGCATGTGTCCGGATGGGACTTGCATTGCTGATGAGACGATCTGTCGAGCTAGTCACTGACGTGTGAGTGCAGGGAATATTCATGCTGGTCCCTGGGTTGGTGCTGTGTGTGCACACCGCTGGCTGCCACGTGGTCACCTGTCACCAGTGGGTGATATGAGAACCTATACTTCTGGTTGCTGGGCAAGATGGGTAGTGGGGCACAGGGCAGGGAGTCATGCAGCTCTGGTTGCCAGCTTGGTAGGGGCAGGAGTCCACTTTTGTGATTGCTGGATGGGACTGCTCAGGGATGATGGAGCGGGCATGGCTCTCCTGAACTTCGGGAGGGGTGGTGAGTATGGCCAGGCTTGTGCCATTCAGCGTGGACGTCTGGAACCTCGAGTAGAGTATGGTGGGTGTGATCAGTCTTGCACACATCCTGGCTCCATCCAACTGTCTGAGGGCACATGGCAGGGAGGGTGACTGCTAACTTTGAACCAGTTCTTGGGGAGTGAGGAATATTCTAGTTGTTATTTTTTGGTTTGACATTTCACTCTGTGGATGCTGGATAAGAAGCCAGGTTCCTTCTCTTACAAGCAGTATCTACATTAAATCCTAGCTTCCTTCCTGCTTGCATTCATTAAAGGCCGGGAGTGCTCATCCACCCCTGTGTTCTTCCCCTCAGCTCCCCTGCAGTGTGCGCCCTCGCCCACATGTTCTTCCTCTCGAAGGCTCGAAGGCTCAGAGGAGCTGGTCTGCTTCACTTGCTCTACAGGCACTTCCCTGGGGCTCCCTGCCTTCAGAGCTCGCCCGCTGCGGCACTCTCCCTCACTGCGGTGTGCTGCCCTGTACCTGGCCGCGTACTGCCCACCTTGTCGTCGTCCCCCTGTCCCCAGGTTGTTTGCTACAATCTCTGCTACCAGCTGTGCTCTCTTTGCCGTTGTCTTCCGGGTTCCTCGCTCTGGGTTGTTGGGGTTGTGGTTTGATGCAGTCCCCAAAGGGGCCGTGGCTCCGTCCTGGCAGGCCGGCCACGGTGGGTCTACCGGTCTCTGTTTTCCCACTGGCTGCAGTCTGACTCTCCTTCTGTTGGTGCTCAGCCTGTTCATTCGCCTCTCTGCTTGATTTTCTGGGATCTGAAGTCATTATTTTTAGACAATTTTACTCAGTTTCTTGAGCTACATGTGCCATATTGACTACAGTCTGTTTTGTTGTTTGTTTTGTGATAAAACATCACATAGGAGGCTGGAAGCATAACATCAATACTTTGGCATTTGTTTTTATTTATCAGAAATCCTTCCTGCTTACACATCTTTCATTGGCCTGCTCCATAAATGTTTGAAGTTCCATTATCTTTACATTCCATTTTTTCCATAAACTTTTCAAAGCCCCATCATATATATGTGCTCATTTATGAGGATAAAGGACATATCTTCTTCATCTCCATACTTGCTTACCTATTTGGAACATGATCACCACTGGTTCGTTCTGTTGAAGCTAAAATAGAGTGTATATTAAGGACATAGCTCCTGCCCCATCGGGCACCCACGCCCTTCCTCTACAGGCACCTTATGAGAAGGAAACAGACTTCTTGCTGTGGGGAAACAGTCCAAAAGCAATGCAGGATTGGTTGCTATGTGGGCATCTGGGGGAGCCCTGGAGGGAGCCACGGGAGAGCTGGAGTTGTCTGCAAAGGCTTCCCGCGGAGCTCACCCTTCAGTTCACACTGAAGTTGTCACCCGTGCCGGGAAGGCACGGAGAGCAGGGCTGTAGAAAGAGCAGGTCTGCGGAGTCGCCCGGCCAGGCAACTGGGGTCCTGGCCATGCTTTGGGGAAAAACTCTTATTGAAAACTGACTGTGTGCCAGGCACGGGCTTGGAATACAACTCAGAGTTTTGGGTGGGGTCAGACACGTAATGATAGAATAGGGGTTAAGTACAGGGTGCTGTACTGGGACCTAGAAAAGAGAGACAAAGAAGGCTAATGTGTGGGGTGGAAATTTCCAGACAGACAGAACAGCATGTGTGAGGGTCTGGAGAACAGAGGGGACAGCGCTCAGAGACAGGCAGCTGACACTCATGCTTGTAGAGCACTCTCTGTTGGCGTGTTCAGCTTCCATGCCCTCCTCAGGGCCGCCAGGCAGGGGCAGGAGCCAAGGCATCTCCTCAGGTGCTCCTACTAGTAACTGCAACTTAATCCCCAAGCTGCTAGCTCTTGACTCCCTCAGCAAGGGCTGACATTTGTCTTGGCGGAGACCCAGAATGTGCCCTGGCTGAGCCGAGTTTGTACTTATCACGAGGTGCTGATTAGGCCAAAGTGAAGTGACAGGTGTTTGAAGATGCTGAAAGGGCGGAATTTGCATGCACTCAGTTGGTCCCCGGGCCAGGCAAGTCTGAAGAAACCCAGGGCAAAGCCCGCCGCTGCCTCTGGGTCAGCTGGGCCCTCTGCTCCTTGCTGACCATGCTCTCCCGTTCCTCGCCGTTTATACTCATCTTACTGCCTTCGCCTTTTCTTAAAGAAAAGAAAAACGATCCATCTTAGTTACTGGAAGTTTCAAGAAGGAAGAAAAAAAATACAAAATAAACTCACTCCTCTAGTTGATGGCGACTCGGGGTAACCATATAGGATAGGGTAGAACTGCCCTCTCTGAGTTTCTAAGACTGTAACTGTTTACAGGAGTAGAAAGCCTCTTCTCCCTCCCAGAGAAGGAAGAAGGATAGAAAACGCAACAGCTGTGATTCTGTTCTACAATGAAAAGAGCCTAATGGACTGCATTCTTCCAGGTTCCTCCCCAATATGCACCGTTAGGGAACATTGTTTTTAAACTTTTAAGATCATGGTCTTTTGTATTTATATAACTTCCAAGCCAAGACCACAGCCATTGAGTTGGTTTTGACTCATAGCAGTCCTCTCTAGGGTTGCCAAGATCGTAAATCTTTATAGGAGCAGCTGGTGGATTTGAACCACCAACCTTTTCCTGGCACCCCATCACCTAAGCCACAGCACCCCAGGGCTCTAGCATTTATATAGTACATAGGAATTTATAAAATATTTCTCCTTTACCACAGTAAATTATCACAACGGTATCAAATATGTGATTATATCCCCATTCTACAGTTAAAGAAACCGAGGCTTAGACCAATTAAGGGATTTTTGTAAATCTAGACAGTTTATAAGCATCATGTCCTCAAATTCAGGCTGTCTACCTCTGAAGCACTCTCCATGGAAGTACAGCTGCCAAAATGGTAGCTTTAGAAACACCTGCGTACCATTGCCTTTTGCCCACTGGAAATATGCTACTGATCGCGGAGTGAACACGGAACGATAGGAAATTCGCCCAACAGTTTTGAGTATTAATCATAACCACTTAGAGTCTTGATGCATACCATGTGATTTTTTAAAAATCTCCAAACTCATTGCCGTTGAATCAATGCTGACTTATCTCCACCCTATAGGATAGGGGAGAACTGACCCCCATGAGTTTCCAAGATTGTAACTACAAGAAGAGATGGAGGGGTGGTATTAATCAGAATTTCTGGAGCCACCAGTAATCTTGCAAATAAACTAGAATACTTGTGTATGTTACCCAGGGTATGAATTTGCTTTAGACTATTTGGGTGTGTGATTTAGCTTTCTCCAAGTAACTTGGTCAGATTTTTTAAATTTGTTTTCATTTTCACAGAAAAGAAAAGGCTAGATCCTTCAAGTAGAGTAGGAAATTTGCTTCATCCAAGCCTTAAAGAAAAAAGAAGGAAAAAGGCAAAAAGGAAGGGAGAAAAAGCCCAGAGGATCACAGACAAATAATTCCAAGCTGTATACTGCTGTCACGAATTCTCAATATATTGGGGATGCTGCCAAATTCTTGTTTCTCAGGAGGAACTGTTGCCAAAACATGTCATCATTTGCAAAAGCTGTAAGAGGTAGAAAGCTAACTTTTTATTCCTTAAAATAGCAGTAAGGGAAAAAGAAAACATTTCCAAAATTTGTTATAAAATGCTGAAAGTATTGCCTAATATTTCCAGTTGTGCCAGCATCCTTTAAGGATTGTTGCTCCTAAAAGCAGTGGCTTATTGATGAGAGTATCTTGTTAAAGAAAAAATTTAAATGTTTTTATCAAACACAATGGGAAAGATTCATTCACTCGTTCATGTGTGCACTCTTTCACAATTAGTTATTCAACATAATCCATGTGCCTTTGCAAACCACCAGGCTTCGTTATGAGGATAATTAAGTGATTGTCTCTGCCTTCAAGAAGCTGATGGTTAGTTGGGAGACAGATTCAGGAACTGATGGTCCAGGCTGCAGGCGGCTAGTGCCACACCAGACGTCATGAGCAGGTTGCTTGCTGCAGGAAAAGGGAAAGAAGCTTTTAATTGTTTAGAGAAGCAGGGAGCTAGTGTTGCAGAGAGGTGAGGACAGTTGAGCTGGGTCTAAAAGGATGAAGTGGGGCTAAAGGAGCAGATTTACCACATGCCTACAATGTAGCCAGCAAATAGCTGTTCTCATATGGTTTCAACCGCATTTTTCTCTTCTTAAAAAATATTGCCAGCTTTTGATTCTGTTCATTGATTATCAGTTTGTGTTGACTATCCTTTGGGCCTGTTTTTCTATTGAGATCTGGCCTTTTAATATTTAAGTGTTTTTTGTTCTCTGGATAAGTTTGGTGGAGAAGGATCTGCAGGAGAAAGTGTGGCAGTTGGCTTCCATAAAGATTCTCCTCCTCACTGCCATTGAGCCGATTCCGACTCTTGCTGATTCTTAGGACAGGGGAGACCTGCCCCTGCAGGTTTCCAAGACTGTAACTCTCTTTGCAAGAATAGAAAGCCTCATCCTTTTCCCTCGGTAAAGATTCCAGCCTTGGAAATTCTGTGGAGCAGTTCTACTCTGCCCTGTAGTTGTGATAAATCTGAATTAACTAGACGACAATGGGCTTATTTTTATTTTATTTTCTTGGACTTACTTATAAGTGTGTTGCAGAAATTGTGTTGGCCACAGCTACTTGCTTCCCTCGCCAGGTTCTGACCACATCCGCGAGAAGGATGGGCTCTGGGCCGTCCTTGCCTGGCTGTCCATCCTCGCCACCCGCAAGCAGAGCGTGGAGGACATTCTGAAAGATCACTGGCAGAAGTATGGCCGGAATTTCTTTACCAGGTGAGTCGCAGCCTGGCTGGATGCCAGGTAGGATGGGAAATTCAGCAGGGAGAATGCTCACACATGCACATCCTTTCCTGTCCTAAGTGGTCATGAAACCTGAATTCTTCCAACCTCTGCCAGTCATGAATTCTTAAATTAATTCTGGATGGGGTTCAGCCAGCTTTTATGTCAGCCAGAAGTATTGAGGCTTTAAAAAAAAAGTTAACATTTTCAGTGGTAGGGGCCTCACCTTTTCCATTGTGTTCAAATCCCAGTCTGCCCACCTTGTTTTGCAGCCACCATTGCACAGAACAGGCTTCTAGGCTGAGAGAAAAAAGGCTGATGGGAAAAAATCAGCCATGTGCAATTTGCACTGTGCTTGGGATGGCTGTGCGTCAGGGCCAAGTCAATGGCAGCTAACAATGACGACTGTACAGGAGGCCTGGGTGCCAAGGCAAGCACCTCTGTTGTGGAAGAGCTGGAAAGCCCAGGAAACTGAGAGCAGCGGTCATGAACGCTCCGAGTGTATCACAAAGGCAGGACCATGGCTGGTTGTGCTGCCCATGGTCTCATCCAAGGCCTAATTCATAGTCAGTATTTTCCGAATAGACAAATGAATCGGTAAGAAGTGAATGGTAGAGCCCGAGTGGAGTAAGGTTCGGAGGGGTTGTTCAGAGAAAGGCTCATTCTTGAAATGAAGTTTCCACTTGAATACCCTTTAAATACATCTATCAGTTTCAAATATAACTACTAAACAAGTACGGGAGACAAAGCCATTAAGTCCGGCCTTCATGACTGGTTAAGACTCCAGGGACGCCTCCACTTACTGAACAAATGCTCCTTTGCATGCATTATTTTATGTTAGTCTTCAAACAGGTACTGATGAAGCAGCTGGCGTTCTGGGAGTTGAAGCGAACCGCCCATAGCCATGTTGTTAGTGACCAAGAGCGGCTGGCGTGTGTCATGGTGATTCCGAAGGCCGGAGTCGGTCCATTACGCCCTCTGTGCCTGGGATGTGTAAGAGCACTTCCTAGGGACGCCCAAAGGTCAAGGATGTACAGCAGCAACACCTGGTTGTAATTTCTTGCTGTTTATCATCTTAACTTGGGTGGAAAAGAGCTGACTTCAAGATTAAGGGGACTATTTTGTCCTTGATGCATAGAATCCTGGAGCCAGAAGAGGCTGGCCTTCATTCCTGGTATTTCTCGTGTCTCAGAGGTGTCGCCTTGCACATATCATATTTGTTTCATGATGGCAAATAAATATAGACTCTGCTATCTTGAGCGTCTTAAAAAAATAAAATAACTCACTTGGGAGGGTGTACACGAAAAGCCACTGGTGAGGATATTTAAGACAGAAGTCAAGAGAGTTCTTCAAGGGAAAAAAAAATAGGTTTGCAAGATCAACTTGTGATGTGTACCCCTCCTTCCGTCCCTGGAGCCCCAGCCCCTGCTTGGCTCTTTCTCAGGAGATCTCCCCTGTTGGGGTGAATCCAAAGCCCGTGACCAGAATTCACTCTTGCCAAAAGGGTGGAGACATTGCAGATGTAAAGAGTTAGGTTTCGGCCCCTTCATCTGCTCAGTGAAAACCTGGCCTGGTTTTCCGAAGCCCCCGTGGGGGTCGTTACTCTCCTTAGCCAACTTCCCAGCAGCCTCAGTCAGGTCCGGGGCGGGGCGGGGAGCAGTCCCTGCAAAGGGCTCCTGGCATTTGGAGGAGAAGGGCCCGGTCACCTACATGTTTATGTAGCGTTCTCTAGAGATAGTGTTGATTTTTATTGTCTCCTCAGGAGGTGGTGATTAAATATTAGATAGTATCTCTCAAAAGCCTTTGAAGCTCCTTGGGGCTTTATTCCACAGAGAAGCCAAAATATGGGGGCAGGAGGACGGGGCATTCTGCTTACTCAGAAGCTCTTCGCTTTTCCCTGGACTCCACGCTTGTGATTTTTCAGCTCTTCCTTCCCTGGTGGGCTGCTAACAACAAGGTCCGCGTTTCGAACCCACCAGCCCCTCCGAGGGAGAAAGAGGAGACTTGGTAGTCCCGTAAAAAGTTAGTCTCTTAAACCCACAGGGGCAGCTCTACTCTGTCCTATAGGATTGACGTGAGTCAGAGTTGACTTTGAGGTTTCGTTTTGTCCATTCCTGTCCTGATCTGTCCCCTGGGACCGACAAGGTCCTTCATTTATTTTCCAGCTTCTTCTGAAGTTGGGTGGTGACACACCTTTGTAAGATGTGACTTCAGCCCGTGGGCCTCAACTGGATGGCTTCTTCCAGGTACGACTACGAGGAGGTGGACGCCGAGGGCGCCAACAAGATGATGAGGGACTTGGAGGCCCAGATGTCCGACCGCTCCTTCGTGGGGAAGCAGTTTTCCGCGGGTGACAAAGTTTACACGGTGGAGAAAGCAGATAACTTTGAATACAGTGACCCAGTGGACGGAAGCATTTCCAGAAATCAGGTGAGAAGAGATAGGTGTGTGTATGTGGGAGCGAGGCCTGGGAAAGAGCTGAATCTCTGATGGCTGAAAGGCCCTTTTCGGACTTATGCCCCTGGGGGAGCTGGTCTCAACTGCCCTTCTGTGGAGTCCCGTATGACTCACTCAGGTCCAAGCAGGGAAATGATTTTCTCCCTGGTCTTGTGCAATTCCCTATGCCCTCCTTCTGGAATTATTAGCCTCAATGCCAGAGGGATTTTAACACCCTCAGGAATTATATGAGATTCTGTGGAAGGCGTACTGTTCCATGTGACATGTGTAGTATAAAACGGAATGTCACACGTGTGTGCAGAAAAGAGCTCTGGGAGCTCAACGGAAAAAGAGAACTTCTGCTTGATGTGCCAACGCCTCCTTTTCCCTCAGGAGATTGTATCAGAGAGCCAGAGGGGAGAGTGACGGTGCTATAACGATTCCGTTGATAGTCTCTAATTTCTAAAATGAAGACAAGGCAGATAAGCCACTCGAATGTTGACCCTTACTGCAGTACAACTTAAAAGAGCAGTGCAGAGCAAGACACTGCATTGCCAGACACTGCTCACCTGAGCCCCTTGGGTGCGATCAGTGAGGGAGCTAATAAAGGCTGGTGGGCATAGGATTTGGGAAGTTAGGGTCAAGGGAAGGGCCCTGTATTAGACACCAGACAATCTGGATTCTGTCTGGATTCCCTGTGACCTCGAGCAAGACTCTTCACTAAGCTTCAGTTTCCTCGTTGGAAAAAGGCAAATAATAATACTTGTTTCTATTTTACGCATCGTGCAACTCAAACGAGGGAAAACTGGCTGTGCAGATTCTTTGGGGATTTCTTCTAGAGCCAGAATTCAACATGGAAAGAGGGGGGGAAAATAGCATAGTGTACTTATGAAAATGCCTGGAGGGGTGAGGAGTCATGGCTGTTAAATATGTATACTGTGGATATAATTTGTGTGAAAGTGTAGTACCTATTGTTTGAATGCCCACTGTACTTGGTTCTGTGCTAGAACTTGGGCATATAGAGCTGAATAAATAAATCCTCTCAAATATGGTGCATGTAGAGATGACCATCATAATCTGACCTTGACCTACCCCTGCAGCCTGCTCTCTCCGCGCTCTCCTCTTGCCCTTCCCCACACCCATTTGGAGCCACAGGGAGGCCCTTGACCAGGCCGATGTGCTCCCACCTCTGACATAGAATTCGATGGCTATGAAGCGCATGCTTTCCTCTTCTGGGAGCACCCGCCCATATGCTGGCTAAGTTCTCCATGGCAGTTTTGACAGCTCTGCATAGACATCTTTCCCACCCCACCCCCACCCCCGGGACATAATCATCTCTGACCGACAAGCCTGGACTAGTTGCCCGTCTTATGTACTCATACAGTATTATGTGCTTATGCCAATTGAAGCACTTACCACTTAAGCACTGTTTTTCTTGCTGGACTTTGGCAAATCAAGGGCAAGATCTTGTTTTGTTCCTCAGGAAAATTTCAGGATAGTGGCCAATATACTAAAGGCACTCAGTAAATATTTGTGGATGGATGGATGGATGGATGGATGGATGGATGGCTGACAGGAAGGAAGAGAGGAGGGAGGAAGGTAGGGATCATTTGTAAGACCCTTGGGTTAAAGACCTAAACTAGAGAATTTTCATGATAGAAAGGTCTGGTCAATAAGACCCTTTCTTTCTTTCTTTTCAGTCATCAAGAGGCATAGAGTTAGAGACTGTGAGATTGATGGCACTAGATCAAATCTAGTACGTGCTTCTCCTTTTAGAGATTTACAGATGAGGAATTCAAGGCCCAGGGAGATTCACCAGCTTTCCCAGCTAATTATTGACTGAGCTAAACTCTGGGTCGAGTTCGATGATGAGCACCAGATGGGGAGTCGCGCCTTTCCTGCTCACCAGTAATTGGAGTTCCATAAGGTTCACCCTATGAGCCCCTTTAGTCATCAGCCATTGTGGGAGATTGACCACCGAGCCATGGTTCATAGATTGAAAATAGTTCGTGTCTGCCCTGTGAGACCTGGGGCCACCTGTTCTCTTTTTGAAGTGATCCTTGTTTCACTAACAGTTCTCCCTCCCGTCTACCTGTACTCTCTTCTGCTTTGATTCCAGTGCATTCTATCGTGAGCCTCCTGAGCAGGAAGGTATAGATGGGCATCCTCTGTTACTCTCCTGATCTGGAAAGGGAATTTCTGCATCTCGAGGCATTACTTATGAGTTGATTGTGCTTCAAGCAGAAATGGCGAGTCCATAAATCATAGAGAACTGAGGAGGGGAGGGGAAGCCTCATGCCAGAGCACATCACAGGGATCAGATCTCCCACCTGACCTTGGGAATGCTTCTCCCCTCTTAGCTAAGCCTCCATTATCTGCATGTAGTGAGAGGTTGACAGAAGGCAGATTCACAGGGCTCAGTTTATCAAGGATCTAATCCTGTGATTGATTCAGTATGGATGAAATTAGGTCTTCAGACAGACCTCTTGTGATTTGCCAGCTTTCCATCTCCCTGCCAGCATGTGGGAAAAGGTCTCTGCTTATCTTTTCCAGGGCTTGCGGCTCATTTTTGCAGACGGTTCTCGAATCATCTTTCGACTGAGCGGGACTGGCAGTGCAGGGGCAACCATCCGACTATACATTGACAGCTATGAGAAGGACCTGACCAAGATCTACCAGGACCCTCAGGTACTGCCCAAGCCCTGGAGCATGCAGAAGGACTGATTGTGAGTCCATTGAACCCGGGTAGAGCAATCCCTGCCTCCTGGCATCAGACTTGGATCCACTGCCCTCACCTTCTCCCATATCTCTTCCAAGACCGCAGAAAAACATAGAGCTAACAAATAGCTGAGGTTTTCTGTTTGCCAAGCCATTTGCCAGGTAAGCCCATTACCTGGATATACTAACTTCATCCCCAAAGAAGGTAAATTCTATTATCCCTACTACATACATGTGAGGAACCTGAGGCAAAGAAAGGTTAAAGGGTTAATAAGTTCACACCCCTGATAGGTGGCCGATTCAGGATTTGCCATTTGGGCCTGATCACGGGCCCTGGCAGAACACTCTGGTGGAGACTTGGTAGTAGGGGAGAGAAATTCCCTCCCTGAAAAACCAAAGGACTTGGCCCAGGGGTGAGTCCTTTGTCCAAATTCAAGGAGTCTCTAGAATTCAGAGAACAGCCACCAAATAGGAGGAGCCAAGCGGAGGGCAAAGACACAGGGAGGGAGCTTTTCAAAGTATATCCTCACAACACGTCTCTTGGAAGATCCTCCTGAACCAGTTTTACGGCCCAAGAGAAAGTGTTTAGGACATGTTGGATGTCACACTAGCCCCTTCTTGGCAATTCACAACCAACAAATGAACAAAAAGCCGAATCTGTTGCCATCATCAAATTCATTCTGAGCTCATGGTGACTCCATGTGTGTCCGACCGGAACTGTCCTCCATAGAGTTCATAGTGCTTGACTCTTTTTTAAATTAGAAAATACCAGAAAGTAGATCACTGGCTTTTCTTTCCAGCTTCTCTGAGTAGACTCCAACTGCCACCTTCTCTTTGCTCTCAGCAAGCAAGCTTGTGCCATCTGCATATTGCAGGTTGTTAGCGAACCTTCCTTCAATCCTGATGCCGAGTTCTTCTTCACGTGGTCCGATTGTTTGCTTAGCACAGAGAGGGGAGAAGTATGGTGTAAGGATACAGCCCTGACACACGCCCCTCCTGATTTTAAACCACACGCCACCATCCGGTTGTACCGGAACGACGACCTCTTGGTCCATATACAGGTTCTACATGAGCACAAGACGTTTTCTGAAATGCCCCTTCTTCTCATTGCTGTCCATAGTTTGTTATGATCCACAGATGAATGTCTGTCAGTGTAGTCAGTGAAACACAGGTAAACATCTTTCTGATACTCTCTGCTTCCTGCCAACTTCCATCTGATGTCAGCAACGGTATCCATCATTCAAAAAACAACCAGTTGGCATTTGTAACCCGTAGCACATGTTAAAGACTCTGAGGAGACTTACACTAAAGCACCTGCTATTTCCCCACAAAGTGTTTTTCACTTCACACCTGATTAAAATCCTGTGAAACTCACTCTGCACCCCCAGGCGTAATGGCTTGAACGGAGGGTTTGGAGGCAGAGGACCTAGCTCAAATTCGGTTCCTGTCCCTGACTAGCCCCTGCCCCTGGGGAAGTCATTTCAAGCAGGCAGAATAGTGCCCACCACACAGAGAATGTAGGGATTTAAGGAATCAATAGGTGTAAAATGCTCAACATAGCATCTGCCACATAGGATAATCTTTAGGGGAAGGCCATCAATTTTATTACAAAAAGTACCGTGAGAGGATAACACCCCTGATGCACACTTTTCTTGATTTTAAACCACGCAGTGTTCCCTTGTTCTCTTCCCACAACTGCCTCTCAGCTCGTGTAAGTTCTACGTGAGCACGATGCAGTGCTCTCCGTTCCCATCCTTCTCAAGCCTATCCAGAGTGTGCTATGGTCCCCACAGTCGAACGCCTTGGCATAGTCAGTAAAAAGTTTAAATAACAGTGAATTGTTCTCTTTAATAATTCATATTATGTTCTGTGAATTTCGCCATGATTAAAAGGGGTGGAGGGAAGCATCCTAGTCCACTTGCTTTGTCGGATGGACTGTGAAATCATCTCACTGACTTGGGAGATGCTGGTGCTGGGCTTTGCGGGAGAGAGCATATGTTTCTTTGGAGATTGAGCGTTTGAGGAGCCCTTGAGACATCAGAAGGCACCCTGGCAGCCTAGTGGTCACGTGCTCAGCCACTTAGTACTAATCGAGAACGCCGTGGCAATCGGTTCCTGTAAAGAAGTACAGCCCTGCCAACCCTCTGGGCAGCTCCGCTCTGTCCTGTGAGGTCACTGAGAGGCAGAATCAACGGGACCAAGAGTGGGTTTGCTGTGGTTTTTGGCTTGAGACATCGGAGCAGAGGGGTGGTAGAGTTGGGAGCTCAGAAGTGAGGTCAGGCTGGGACAATGGATCCCTGATTAGAGAAAGTGACGGAAGGGTTCTTCTCCTGTGTCTCCCTCAGGTCATGTTGGCCCCCCTGATTTCCATTGCGCTGAAGGTGTCCCAACTTCAAGAAAGGACGGGGCGCACAGCCCCCACTGTCATCACCTGAGAAGACCACCTGGCTGTAGTACGTCCCTCCACTCGAGGACCCGTCTGATTGAAGAGCATGGACACGAAACCCAATGTGTTCACCCAGCCCTTTAGGATTCAGTTTCCACTAGCCAGCTGCTGAAGAATGGTCCGTTTGCGGGGCACAGGCAACAAGATGCCTGCGTGAGTGATGCGGGAAAGAGCACCCAGGAGCTTGTACTAATGTCAGTTCCCTATCATGCTGTTATGCACTGTTACGGTGCGGCCGTTTGTACTAGGTCCTGTTTGCACTGCAATGTAAGATGGGGTTAGAACATCAGGGACAGAGGCCAGCTTTCATCTGCAAGTCCCTTCGTCTATGGTGAATCTTTCTCTCCCTTTACTGTTTACCGATAATCCACCAATTCAGTTTCTGGTGCCTTCTCTCCAATCAGTTCGTTCCTCAGTGTGACGTACACCTCGCTGTCTTGTTTTGCACATGCTCCCATTTAGTATTTTGGGATATTAAAGCAAAAGAAGCTGCTCATTCTTCATGTCTTTTTTTCCCCCCCTGAACTGCAAAATACTACTGATTTCAGAAAGACATCACAAGGTTTGGGGATGGGAAGTGGGCTCTAGTATTTTGTTTTGATGACCTACCTAGAGAACAGAACTTCTCTGAGCTAGATTTAGAATCCTTAGACTCAGGAGTGTAGTCGTCAAGTTGTAGCAGGGTCCGCTTAGCCCTGGATCCTCCTGAGATGGCCATAAACTAAGCGTAACATGGTTGATGTGGGATATGGGGAAGGGCGGTGATTTTTAGGAGATGAAGTAGCCCACGGTACCATGTGCTCTCTGATGTCAAGATGCCATGATGCCTGTGAGAAGACTACCAGACAGGCTGACTGGTCATTTGGCTGGGACGCTTACGACCACACTTGTGTTATTCCTCTTAGAACATTGGCATCTGGCCCACGAGAGTCTGGTAGTAAGAACATGGACTTTGGAACCAACAGACCCTAGTTGGAATCCCACTTGAGACTGTCATTCTCCTCATCTTCACAATGGAGGTGAAAGTAACTCCATCTTTACAGGGGTGTTGAGGACACGGAGTGAGCTGCACTTTGAAAAACAGTGGGCGCAGTACTTGGCTTATGGCATATTGTCAAAGATGTGGGATCGAGGATTATCGCCACAATATTGGACCTAGATTTTAAGGCACTGTATTTAAAATAACTTTTTAAAACATTAATCATTTTATTATGAGCTCTTATAGATATTATTAAAACCCATAATTCAATTACTTGAAGCATAATTATACAATTGTGGCTACCCTCAGTTTCAAAACGTTGTCTTTCTTTTTGAACTCTTTGATACCAGCTCCCCTCCTTCACCACCCTACCCTCCCAGGACCCCTTATTATTATGGTGGGGCAGGAGGAAAGGAAAAAGAAAAATAAGAAAAAATAAGAAAGTAAAAATTATATATAGGTATAAATATAGATAGGTATATATGTAAATATATATAAAATATAAAGATAGGTGTGTTTTTGTGTGTGTCTGTGTGTGTAAATACAACAAGGAAGCAGATGGACTTTGGGCCTCTACTTAAATCTTAACCTCAGTACAAGAATGGTTCTAATAATGTGTCACTGTATGATGCTTATCTTCCCAACATGACCATTAAAGACAAAATCGCTGCATTAGCAAATGTTCTGAAGAAAGCTGAAGGTTCCCGGCTATTAAAAGATATAGTGAGCAAATGTGGTGAAGAAAGAAAGCTGATGGTGCCCGGCTATTAAAAGATATAGTGCCTGAGGTTTTAAAAGCTTGAAGTTGCACAAGCAGCCATCGAGCAGGGAAGCAACAATGCCCACATGGAAGAAGTACACTACCCTGTGGGCTCATGTGGTGTCAACGGGAATAAGTATCAGAAGTTCAAAAACAAGCAATGAAATTGATGTGAAGGAGCACAGACAAAGTAGAGACTCAACCCACCTGTAAGATAATGGGACAGTCCCTCACAGAAGGGCCACATGGAAGGGATGATACATCCAGGGTGCAGTTTCGCACTGATGAAACACATAACTATCCTCTAGTTCTTTAATATTTCCTTCCCTTACTATTATGGTTTTTATTTGTTTTACCTCATAATCATGGTAGATTAGCATGTGTTCATTTATATAATTAAGATCATTCGCTGCATGGAATCCAAGATAGATATACCCTTCAGAAACAGTGACAGGAGTAATGATTCCTGAGGGTACAGGAAGAGTGGTGAGCTGGGGGGCGGAGTGGGGGAAGGTGGAACCAATAGCAATGAGGACTGTATAACCCCACTTAAGGGGAATGAATAACAGAATTGTAGGTGAACGGATACATCGGATGGTGTAAGATAACGGGGAGGGCGGGGGAAGACTTGTCATGAAGAGTAAAAACTATGATGTAAATAATATTTGGCTTGTTCTAGAGAAGCAGCCAAGCTCTGCTCCATTTCAGGGAGTGGGATCTTTAGTAAGGATGTTTGCCAGCGTTGCCGTGTAATGGGACAGTCCAACTCCCCCAGCTCAGCAAACAGAACTGAGCTTTGAGATTAACGAGGAGGAGGAGTATTTCCTGAGCATTAGCCCTAGGCCTTGCCAGTGGTGTTATGAGGAGGCAGTCCCAGGATTCCTGCTGTGCAGGTGAGGTTCAGCTACTTGCCCAGGGTCACCTCAGTGGACCCCCAGGCAGTTTGACTCCAGCCCTGCTTGTCTCACCACCACTTCAAATGACCTCCTCTGTTGAAAGGCTGCTTCTAACATGTAGACGAAAGGTGTGAAAATGCCTGTGGGTCTCTAAGGTCTCTGGGCACCATAAACAGTTTGCCCTTGACGAGCAGCTGCCAGGTTGCAGATCTGAGCCACACAGTGGCGCTGCAGAAGGAAGACTTGGGAGATCTGCGCTGTAAAGGTGGTGATGGCTATGTGTCATTGAATCTATTTCAGTTCATAGCTGCCCAGAGTGACAAGAGAACTGCCCCACAGGGACTTGGGGTGGGGTGGGGCTGTAAGGGTTACAGAAGTAGCTAGCCAAGGCTTCCTCCTGTGTAGCCACTGGGTGGTCTATCTTTATTGACTCAAATTAAGTGTGCGGTGCAGTGGAGGAAAGGATGTGTGTATGTATAGTTACTGCCCTCAAGATGCCCATTCCACTAGCTGGGGCAGTCCAACCCAGCACAAAGAATGACTGAAATCCACATAGGACAAATATCTTATAACTTAGGTAGACATCTGCTGTCGCAACTCACGCTTTCCAAGACCTGTTCTGTTTCAGACATAAGAGCTAATTTCCTCTTCGGGAACCCTGTAAGTAAGACTTTTTAAATTTTCCTTTTGGAGTCAAGGCTACTAAAGTTCAGCGGAAGCTGAAGTGACTTGCAGCAGATCCCTCAGCTGCCAGGAGCGGGGATTGGAATTCTGACCCAGAATCTCATTCACTTTTCACGACCCTTCGCTGCATCCCCCGCTGTTGAATCACCTGCACACACTCCCAGGTCTGTGGCCCCTGGAATCTCTCCAATAAAGCTCCTCCTCATCTTGACCGTAAGTCAGCTGCTTTCCTTGACCCCACTTGGCTGTTACGTTGGGAGGCAGAAGCCCCAAGGAGGCAGAGGGAGGCGGCTCTGGCAGGGGAGCAGTGAAGTGAAGGCGAGTGAGGGAAACCATCCTTAACTTGCTCAGTGGCCTCGAGAGAGGCTGTCCTAAGCTAGTGGCCCTGGGGAAAGCAGGGAGACAGCCCGGAGAGGCTGCCCTGCAGCACACAGCCCCACTCCCCACTCTCAAGACGCAGGTGGCCTGTGAGTCAGATGGTTTTCTTTAGTGGGTGGTGAGAATTACAGTGAGAAAACTAGGCTGGAATTGTTTGGAGGCCCAACTCTGGAAGCTCGCTTTCCCCCTCCCCCTTGACATCTCAAGAAACTGTTTGCTGTTCATCGACATGCCCCTGCCCGGAAGATGGCTGGCCTCCTGCAGCGGCCAAAGGGAGGGACTGCTCAGTGGGGAAAGCAAGCCGGGCCCAGCTCACTGCAGTCCGGAGGAGGGCAGGCGGTGGGAGTCGGGTGCTCTGCCTCTGCTGCTCCGGGCTTCATTCCTATTTCTTGTTGACTCGCTCCATAGCTGCTGGCCTTGTTTTGTAAGAATCTTCAGAAAACAATTGACTGCATGTGACCGACATACTCCCGGTGTCTTTAAATCCTGGCCCTCAGCAGAAGGGGATAGAGTAAGTCACAGCCGTCTGTACACTCAGAGTCGCTGCATCCCCTGCTGGCCTCTGGCAGTTTCCCCTTGGTCATCTGACCTTCACTCTTGCCCCCTCTGATCCATTCTTTGCTCCACAGTCTAAGCCTTCTTTCTGTCAGCCTGGATCAGCCCATATCACCTGCCTACTGCTTGCCCCAACAGCTCATCTTCCTCTCCTTTCCTCCTGACATTCGATGCTTCAGCACATGGAGCCAGCATAGTTCCCCGGAAATACCATGCTTTCTTCCCTAACAGCCCCGGCCCATGCTATTCCCATTGCCTGGTACCCTGATTCACCTGCCATCTTCACTCAGCTCCTGCTCACTTGAATCAAGTCTCAACGGAAGCACCATTTCATTCAAGAAGCTCTTTCTGAGGCTCCAGTGTCTGGGAGCTTTTTCTAGTGCTTCCCAAAGCACACAATGTTCCCACTACCCTGGTACCTACCAGGGTGAATGTTCTCAACCTCTTTATTTCTCTTTCTTTAACAAAAGACCAAAAGCCAAACGCACTGCCATCGAGTTGGTGCTGGCTCATAGTGGCTCTATAGGACAGGGTAAAGCTGCCCTTGTGAGTTTATGAGACTGAAACTCTTTATGGAGTAGAAAGCCCCATCTTTCTCTTGAGGATTGGCTGCTGGTTTCAAACTGCTGGCCTTATGGCTAGCAGTCCACTTCATAGCCACTACATCGCCAGGATTTCTTCTTCTCCTACTGCCTAGACTCCTAGAGAGGGCGTGAACTGCCTTTTCACCAGTGTGCACCCAGGGCCCTGGGCCAGGCACTTAAAAGGGTAATAAATATTTTGGAATACGTGAATGAAATCTACTAGTTACTAGGCAGAATGTTTAATTTGCTGTGACCTCATTTAAGAAAAAAAGAATTTAAATTTACTTAAAAATAATGCATCACCCATTGCTACAAAAATTAATTGGAGGTGGAGTCGGGGGACACCAACCCAAAACCGAACTCCCAGCTGTTCCATCAATGCGGCTCGAAGGGAGCCTGGAGCACAGGGTAGAACTCCCTGTGATTTTCTGAGACTGGACCTCTTTCCAGGAGTAGAAAGTCCCACCTTTCTTCCATAGACTGACTGGTGGTTTCGAACTGCTGACCTTGCACTTGGCAGCCCACCGTGTAACCACTGTACCACCAGTGCTCCTCGGCATCAGGGAGAGGCTCTACAAAATAGCCTGAAAGTCCCTGAGTGGTACCAATAATTAACACACAGCTACTAGTCCAACGAGTGGAGACCCAAGTCCCTCCTTA